TGGTATCCGCGGCCTCGGGGATACCAAATCGCGAGCCATTGAGGTTTTCTATGACAGGTGTCTTGTTTTTGCAAATTCGATAGTGCGTCGTCCTGGCGCGTTTCCAGAATTTTTTTTTGGGGGGGGGGCAAATTTTTTTTCCGAGGACTATCTATAGCTGGCTGGAGAGAATCGAACCCGTGTACTGCGCTCACAATTCATGCGATTGCTGTCGCATGCGGACTGTTTCGAGAAGAAACTGGTAAGTTTTCCCTGACCTTTCATCATGAGAGCTCTTCGAATCTGACAAACGATTCCTCAGTCGCGTTGGCCGTAGAAATCCGCCCTCGATCGACCTAGTGTCTTAATGGGGTCACGCTAGAAACTCGAACCGCCGTGAATGTCCCCGAAAGTCATGGTCTTATTTCCGAGAGAAAGAGTTCAGCCGTCCACCGAATCTTCAACGCGCTCAAGTTCGAAAGATAAGGCGCTGACGTTTTTCGATGAATGAAATCCTAAAAATTTTACTTTCGAAGTCCGACTTAGATAGTATGAAGCCGAAAATTTCAGGGGGGCGATGGCCCCCCCCTGGATACGCCTCTGGCGTGGTCCGAAGTTGAATCCTCTGGGAGCCATCGCACTAGGCGAGCTGAGTGGTTTTCCGGCTTGACAAGCAAGGGATACGGCTCCCGCAGCTTGAGCTTCTGAGAGGAAGACACCAGAGCCGATATGTATGTGATACGAATACGATCCGCCGCGAATAATTCCTATAAGTGCGGGGGCGCAATCGGATTCTTCATTTCCTCTGGCGGAGATCTACGGCCGATCTTGAGCTCGAATCAGGATTCATAAATGGAAATGAGAAATGCGCCGTGGCGGGCGTCACTTGCCCCATGTTGGTATCCGCTGGCGAACTGTACGACTCAAACACGAGGAATCATAGTTGAGATTTGACTCGATCGGAATGTTTTTCTATCTAGCAGACGCGATGTCTGTTAGACGTGATGCCAGAAGGGCACGCCAGAGATACGCAATCGGCGTCGTTGCGTCATTCGTTTCCAGCTCTGTTTCAGCTGAATTCGCATTCCGCATAACGTGCTTTCGAGACGCGATCTCACTCCATGAACCCGCAGTCTTGGTGAACTAGATGACTGCGTCCGGATCAACCTGTTCACCGACGCGCTGCGGGCGAGGAAGACGATACCGGCGCCGGAACAGAAAGCTCCAGAGGCTGAGACCGTCTATACTGGAAGATCAGTGAATCAAGATATGGGGTGGGAGCAGAGGCAGAGTCATTCATGGATGTCTCCGAGATCCCCTCGGGCCCGGGAAGAATGAGAAATTATGCGTGAGAGGCCGATCGCCAATGAGCTCTTGTTTCACACTACGAGCTCTCACCCGAACCCTCTCCACAGGGCGGAGTCGAAGTACACGTGTTTCACTCTGCTTATCCACGGCACCACTGGAGGGCGCCACCCTCTTGGTCGGTGAAACTCCGATCACAGTTCCGAACCCTGATGCACCAATCTAGCGAGTGGACTTGCTATGGGAATGAGATGCGAGGGAGGACGACAAGCAGTCCGTTGAGGAAAGAGGAGTCATGCTGGTGACTTCCATGCCGTTTCATGCCGATGGAGAGCACGACTCGAGCATTCGAAAAACTCCTGCCACCGCCGCGGTTCCTCTGGGCGGAAAAGTCACGGCGAGCTCCCGTATATCGAGGTTGTATGAATCGACATCCGTATTTTGCCTCAAACGACGAGAAATATTATGCTCAAAATTTCCCGCTATGATCAGTGCCTCGCTCAAGGCTTTCCATGAGAGAAGCCTCGCGGAAGACGAAGGTATCGCAGTATATCGCGTATTAACTCAATTATACTCATTGAATTGTTTTCGACTTATTTGACTTGCGATAGATGAACGCGTCGTCTGCCTCAGGCGAGGCTCGTAGACATTCATCCCAAGCCAGATTTCTTCGTACGATTTCTTTGAGCCGATATTTGCAGAACGAGGGACCAATTAGATCTTCCGGCGAGTCCTCGATTATCCGAGGATTGGAGAGTACCTAGAAATTCTCGGCCGATACATCGCATACAGAGAGTAATGAGGGGGACCACATCTGTGGGATCTTTTTGAAGCTCATTCGGCAGAGCACAGCGCGAAACTCAACGAGCATATCAAGATTACGTCGGCGAAGTCTGCGGCGCGGCCGTAATGTCGTCCGAGATTATCGGAACAGCGCAAAATAATGCGTCTGTTTCCCGCAGCAGATATTGGTTGACCTTACATCTATAACTCCGCGTGCTTGAGTTCAGAGAGCTTCTGGCATCTGCCAATGGATGGGCTCAGGCGAAAATTGCAGAGGCCGTTACCGCTGCGACGGCCGAGGAAAGCGAGAATTGAAGGAGCTCCAGAGTTTTCATTTTCAACGTCAACTTCAATCGACTTTTTTATTAATGGGAACAGGCTCATCTTCCGGAGCCTTGTCATGTGCATAAGTTAATGGAGTAGGTCCTCATACATTAGTATCTTTCTTATATTAAATTATAATAAAGGAAGGCGTTCTCTTCATCTGACGCGAGATTGTCGACAATCGCTGTTGAAGATTCAGGTAACGAGAAGCCTGATGACAAGATTCTGTACACCGGTTTTGGTTGATAGCTGTGTTGTTCTTGACTGTGAATGTTCGTGTGACTTTCTGTACAACAAATGGCATCGATGAATTCACGAAGCCGCCTCACTTCTCACAGCCACCGGACCCGAGGAAGGAGCGAAGCAGGAAAGAGACAATCTCAGGGACTGTGGACGGCCAACGCGAAGATATTTACAATTGGACTAGATCAACTCATTCTAGAACAGTCGGACAGTTCAGTTTGGAAGGCACTAAAGAACCTATACTATGAAAGTGCTTGAGTTTACAGTGGAGCAGAAGGAACAGATTTTCAACATTGCAGCGTCTGCAGCGCGGGCCGAGGCGGTGGTGACGATGGCGACGTCGTACAGCCCCCGGCTTCGTTGTGCTTCTGCAGGAGCGACGCACGCGAGAACGTCTTGTTGCAAATGTCACAGTTGTACTTCTTCACGTTGGTGTGGGTCTGAAGATGAGCTCGCAGATTCGAGCGGTCGGCGAAAGCGCGATCGCAGACGTCACACTGGAAGGGTTTCTCGCCGGTGTGGGTTCTGATATGGCCCTGCAAGAGCCACGGTCGCGAGAAAGCTTTGCCGCAGATGTCGCATTTGCACGGCAAGGTATGGGTTCGAATGTGCATCTTCAGTGCTCCCATCGAGGTGTACTTCTTGCCGCAGTACTTGCAGAAGAACTCCTGTTCGCTCGAGCAGTTGTGCTGTTGTCGGTGTTTGCTCAGGCCCGAATACGTCGAATAGCTCTTGTGGCAATCTTCGCATTCGAACTTGGCACTTGACGAGGTTACGCTCGCAGCAGGGACAGAAATTTTCTCCTTCGTTTCGATGATCGACGAATTCCAGGTAGGGACGACAGCGTCGTTCTGCAGCACACGAGGTGCGAAACGAGGTGCACCGTAGTAAAGGGGGATGGGGTAGGTGAGGAAATTTTGGGGCCACGGATGATGGGGGTCCACCATAACGGGAGGAGATGACGGCGAGGAGTACACCGGCGAAGGAGTACGGACCGGAGATGAGGAAGGTGACGTTTCGGCGTCGGACGATGTGCACCGTCTCTTCATGGACAAATCGAATGGAACAGAGAAATCTGGAAGGAAGAAATTTTCCGTGAGCAACCCATCTTCTGAAGATTCGCCGGCGTAAGCTGCCTCGAGTTCGTCCGTGAGGATCTTCTGAGCTCTTCGCTTTCGGGCTTTCGGTAACTTACCGGGGACTGTTGCTGTTTCGGAGGGGGACGGAGAAATCGAAGGAGGGATCGGTGAAGTCGACTCCACCAAATCCTCGGTCCATGGTCTCTTGACACCGCTGATAGCCGATGCCAACTTGGCATCGTGCTTTTTCTTTATGAGAAAAGCTTTCGGCATTCTTGCTGTCAACCGAGCACACGAGAGTTCGAGTGATGGGGGAACTGTTGCTGTATGTAGAAGTTAATCCAGAGCGTGGCACAGAGTGTCTGAATGTCCAGTGGAGATCAGCTCACCTTTATAGTCGGTCTGGGGGTCCCTCCTCACTCTCAATGGAGAGCGGAGTTTGGGGGTAGAGGCCCCAGAAGTAGAGCTGCTGCCGCTGCTGCTGCCGCCGCTGCCGCTGCTGCTGCCGCCGCTGCCGCTGCTGCTGCCGCCGCTGCCGCTGGTGCTCCTGCTCGTGGTGCTGGTTGCCAATAGTGAATGCATAGATGGTGCTGCCGCTACAGAGCCGGTTTTGAACTTCTTCGAACATCTGTCCGGCTCGCGCGGCGTCGGGGGTGACAGCTATCGAACGAACGAACGAACGAACGACCGAGCGAACCAGCCAACCAACCAGGTCGAGCAAGTAAGCAACCAGCCAGCCTGCCTGCCTGCCAGCGAGACTAGCAGTCTGCCTTCGAGGCAATTTCTAGCCCGTTAGTTCAGATCGGCGAAGCACTCACCGGAACGCCCGGATCAGAGCACCGGAGAACTCCACCAGCTCGTCCGGCACACAATGACGATCGGCATCGGAAAAGCATACATACACGCGTTACGACATTGTGAACTAATCGATCGGAAATGTAAAGATGTTCATCGTCCGCATCTTCTGTTTTCTTTCCGCGGGGGAAAAAAACACAAAACATGACACTTTTCAGCGGGAGCTTAGAGTGAGGTCGCTTGCCCATCGGTTAGCATAAGTCTGCGGTTCTGCAGTCTACCTTCTCAACGAACTCCGTCGTTCAGCCTGAGGAGTATCCCCCGCGTCCCAGGGATTTCTCGGACGGCTGATCCAAGGCGCTCGACGATCATCGGTTCTCGACTCGGACACCGTACGGGCAGGACGAGTATTCGGATATTCCTCGGGGATGTATTGAGCTCGGAAGCTCTCCGAAAATCTATGCGGAACCTAAGGTCCTTCCCTCAGTCAGCTCATGCTCCAGCTTGCGTCGCTCGACACGAAGGAGGAGAAGGATTCAAGCTGGAGTTTTCGTTTCCTGTGTAGCTCGGGTTGCGAGATGGAGATTTGAAATCGGGTTGTAACACACATCGCACCGGCCACCTCGCTCCTTTTTTTCTCATCCAAGAAAAGCGTTTTTCTCTTTCATTCATTTCGCGGGGCTTAGCACCGTTTCCATGTGAGGGAGAGAAACTCATCCACCCAAGCATCTATCCATTCGAAGACTCAAGGCAACCGACGCTCATCTATCAGAAGGCCTCGGCGAGAAACTGGAGCTTGACGAGGAACGGGTGTTGCCACCAGTTGGCAAGAGCTCTCAATATTGAGCATTCGTTATCGAACACTTCAGAGCGAGGGGTAAAATCGCATTCACTCTGTTGATGTTGTTGCCATCGTCGCCGTGGCCGCTGTGGAACCACTGCCATTGAGGTAGGTACCAGCTGTTTCCAAGCAGCTGCGTTGTTCTCTATGATCTCAACGATGGGGCAGCTGGAACCCGATTCTCGTCGTCATCGCCAATGCCTAAGAGAAAGCGCTCAAACATTACTGCACTGTTGTGTGGAGCTGCTTTGCTCCTCTGATTATTATGGTCGTCGCGCTCGGATCGGGAGTCAACCAGGTAGCTAGCGGATTCGCGGTGCCAGGTGGCGATTGAACCGAATCGAGATGAGCTCCGCATGCCCCTTGATTTCTAATTATAATGCTGAAGTTCGCCGAACACGCTCCGTTAGGTCAGGAAAAAGCCGAATAACTGTAAAATTCTGTGACGCGCCGTTGCGGATCACGCCGGCCACGCGACGCTGTTCAACCGCTCATGAAATTCCTCTTGCCTATTCGAGACAACCAGGCTCTCGCGGTGTACCCTCTGGCATAATTTTATTTTCATTCCACCCGAAACTTCCCCGAGAACCGCATCGTCTCTCCGAAAAATCCGCTGCGAGGAATTCTCTCCTTGAGCGAGACTCACTCAGTCGGCCGGATCTCCCTGGATGCACTGAGAGCACGATGCCGAAATCGCGCCGAGCTCCACACGAAGACGGTCATTGAGATTGCGTATCGTGTACACTTGAACAAACATCATATCGGACGCCATACTCGCTGAAGCCCCGACTGTTGATCAAGCGTCTGGCCTGCACGTGCAACACATCGCCAGCCTGTAGTTAACCGGACAAGTTTTTGGTTGTAGGGGGAGGAGGACGACGATAACTGGGTGGGGCGATAAAGAGCATGGATGGATGTGTAGGTTGTCGTAGGGCGGAGGAGACAGATTGTTGACCAGCTTGGAGTAGACGATGGGGGATTTCGAAATGGGGCATTTTTGCACATTGACGCGAACCGCGTTGCACGGAGGGTTCTGAAATGAAGGCGGAACTCCGGCCGATGCAAACTGAGGGCGTATACCGAGAGGTTCCGTCGAGGACAGGAGCGCCGGAAATCGTGGGCTCGAATTGAGTCCTGGAAGTGAGATCGGATCGCCAACGGCGTGAGCCGACCCCAGATTCATCCGGTCGGGATTTGGGAAAACTCTGGAATTCTGAGGGAGCTCCAAGCCCTGAGAGGTCGCTACCATGAACTCTGTGCTACCGATACCGGTCTTCGAGGGCCCGATACATACGAACGAAGTCTGCAGATTATCTCCGAAACTCAAGAAGTCCGTCAGACGCTAAGGGGCGGTGGAAAATATTCTTCTTACTCGCAGGACTTCAGTCCCGTTCCCTGTCCTTTGCATGGATATCCAGAACCCTGTTTTTCCATCGCAAAGAGTCTCGCGGCATCGCGTTATCGATCATCTATTAGCGTTATGGTGGGGGAGGTTCCGCGCGAGTCTTGCTCAGAGCCAGCGCTAGCGATTACCGAGCAGACCTGCCCACATGAAAGAACCTCAATTTCTAGCTTGCGGGGAGCGCTTAGCGTGAGTTCGGGGGAGTCTTCCGCTTGCGCAGTTGATCATGATTCTGAAGAGGACCAAGAGGGGGCAGACGAAAGAGCACAACCGGATATGCAAAAACCAGAACCTGCTGCTGCCAGATGGTTCCGCTACTGCGGGTTTACTCTCTCTGACGCTTGCTTGCCTGGCTGCGCAACCTCATCAGCGGCCGCTCATGTAAAAACAACGCCGAACTATAGAGAGCACCACAGCAGCTCTTCGACAAGCGGTGGCGGCGTCGGTGGCAGGCGCTCCTCGGATTTTTTCCTCTCTCGATCGGCAACCAGACTAGTACGCCCGCCTGTCCGTCTATCGGTGGATTCATGCACCTGGTTCAACCAGTTTTTGGGGCCGTTCCTAGACCCGCGCCTCGTCCGATGCCGCTCGGTGCACATGCGGTGGGCAGCAGCTGGAAACTAGTGCAAATCCTCTCTACAAACACGCGTGTCGATTTCATTTATTTCCTCTCTATGGGACTGATATCTAGAGCGCGCCCGTCAGACTTCCCGATCGACTCTGAGCTCTCAGAGCTCTCTAGGAGCCGAGGAAATCGAAGGATCCGATTCCCTGTATGCTAGATCGGGATCGCCGAAGTTTTCGGGTACTGAATCCCTGTTCGAACCTTATCCAATGCGCTTACCCGAATTACGCCTCTTGGTGAAGTTCTTCAATTTCCGATGAGCGGGAGGGAGGGGGGAATAGGAATCGAACTTCGGATTCATCGAGCTCGATAGCATGTTTCCCACGATTTGATTCTTCACGTAAAAGACCGATCGGGAGCTTCGATTCGAGACTGGCGTGCGATGCTCGGTCCGTTGGTTGGAGCGACATTCAATCGGCGGCCCGTTCGGTCCCAATATCGCGCTGTCTGGAGCTCTCTGTGAGAATCAGGTTCCAAGCTCACGCTGAATGAGACCTCGATCGATATGAGCCATTTTTCAGTTTGTGCCATCGCATAGGCATCCGTGTACATCCATGCATGCGCTCATGACGTCAAGCGCAAAAGCACCGTTTTTTTTTCGTTTTCTATTCGGTGGACCCGGGGAGCGCCGCCGGCATCCCCGTTGCGGCAGAGCTCTCATCGCGTTCGTGATGATAGAAATAAGGGCGACCGTAATCGTGAGCATCATCGTCGTGATGAAATGGTGCAGTGCGCCCACTGCACAGGTGGTGCCGTGACATCCTCGCAGGTGACAAACGTTCATGTTGTCCAGATGGTGCCGGCTGGCTTCAGGTTTTGTGGGGGTGTATGGATGAATGTGATGCGTACAGACGGGACGAGATGGCTATTCTGGGCGCGTGCTAGCTCTGGTCGGGCCGCTTGCTCCGCGGCCTCGTCTGCCAGCACTCCGACTACTACCATAGCCTTGACTGCTACTTCTGCTGCTGCTGCCACTCGTGTCACAGAGAGAGTACTCGACCAGAATGCGCGGACAAGTCTGTACCAAAAACAGCCGGTGAACAGCTGAGAGAGTTCGAATCTAGGTGGAGATCTAATGCTTCGTGTTTTCGAATGTTCGATATGAGCACGATTCGTTCAACCCTTTGGCGCGATTGTCAGGGCTCTTCACGATCACGAGGTCACGCTCCTCCTGATTTCGTTCCCCAGGTAATTTCCGGGTTCTCGTCTCGGGTGATTTCGGCAGAACTGGGTTCGACTTAGAAATTCCAGTTACGATCCGAGCTCCTACCGAGAGGATTCTCTCACTCGGAGAGAGTGCGCTGATGGAAAACGAAAGCCGGTGATTGACGCGATGCACGCGCATGCATGGCGAGATCTATCCAAATTTGCAACGGGTGACCATCGAGGTGAAGGTCGAGCCGGTGATATTCAGCGCCAGCGAGAGTGCACTGTGAAGGTCGCTCATCGCGCACCTCTTCGTCTCCGACCTTGGAGTGACCACGAGCGCTTTCACTTCTGTTCTGATCGGCCAGTCGGTCCGCTCCGTCGTCTAGACGAGAAGCGGAGACCGCGTATGGCACACGACCACGACGCTCGTCCAAAGCGGCGGAGCAGCCCATCGCTAGTTC